AAGGGTCTTAGAGTTTGTAGACTGAGAACACAGCTAGGCAAAAACCCAGATGTTCCAAAGAAGAAAGAGAAGTTGAGTTTTTACTGTAAAAAGTGCATTCTTGAGAATAATCAGTCCTGCATTTATTAGCCTGAGATTGGTCCAGGACAGTGATCAGTCAGATGTCAGCCAGTCTGGATGAGGGATGCCAGGTGGTCTAGAGCAGCGGTCGCCAACCTTTCGGAACTCACGGACCACCAGTTGGCGACCGCTGGTCTTGAGGATGGGTACCAGGAGCTCTGGTCATGGCCAGTGGTCTGGACAATGGATGGCAGATGGCCTGGTTAGCTGAGTCCTTCAAGGGGTAGTCAGGTTGTCTGGATGTTTGATAAATGTCCAGCTCTGTATGCAGACCGTGTCACAGTACTGGAAAAGGTAAAAAGTCTAAGTGCCAGGCTAGTTAGAACAAGAATACAGTCTGTCCCCATGCCTCAGCCCTCATAGTGGGAATAATTCAGTAGCTTGGGTAAAGGGACTTCAGGTTATGTACTCCGTACTCCCTGTCTTAACTCTTTACTCAGGGAAAATAACAGCACCCTAGCATGGCCCGTTCTCCTCATGCTTTAATGACAAAAGTGCACAAACACAACTTAAGGGGTGAACTCAGGCTTCAAAGTTATTTTATATTCATTCCGTAGCCACGACCCATGGATGTTTTTATTTCCTGTGTGCTTTACAAAATGACACTCTACAGACATGAGACTTTTGAAGATAAGAAACTTTAAAAACAATCTCTAGTTTTAGCCTTCGTATTATTTAGTTTTTATTTATAGGTTTTAGAGTATACTCTATTATAAAAAAATGAAAAGCAGACTTTTTGTACAAATTGGCAATTATAAAACTAGTCACATGGACATAAAATACAGCACAGAGAAATAGTCAATAATTTTGTACTAACTGTGTATGGTGTTAGGTGGGTACTAGACTTATTAGAGTGATCGTTTTGTAAGTTATATAATGGCTAGCCACTATGTTGTATACCTGAAACTAATATAATATTATATGTCAACTGGAATTGAAAACATAAAAAATATATTATTTTTAAAAAGCAAACATTGCCCTAACTGGTTTGGTTCAGTGGATCATCGATGTTTCTAACTCTCTCTCTCCCTTCCTCTCTGTAAAAAATCAATAAAATATATTTAAAAAATAAAAATAAAAAGCAAACATTGATAAGGTGTCTTCATATCACTGTTATACAATTACACATTGTTCCCACCCTATTTTCTAAGTAAAAAGAGCCCTAGAAAATGAAATGAATGTTCAACCTACAATGAAGTCAAGATAGGAGAATGTAAAAAAAAAAAAAAGTTAAATCATGTTTGACTTTCTATCATTAAGGAAGAGATCTGGCTAATATTGTTCCGATTAATGGTTAATCTGGGTGTTAAAACTTTATCTAATAAACTTATTAACAGTGATAATTACAAAATAACCTCTAAAGCTAAGCAGTCAGTATAAGTGATTAAATAGTTGTAAGTCCAGGCTACTTGATTTGCCAGACATATTAGTAAGTTCAGGTGTTGTTACCATTTCTTCAGTAACAACATAAGAACTTGCTCTTTCTCAACCTGTCCTTCAGCATCCAGTGAAAGGTTTCAGAATGTGCATAAACTAAACTCAAACATACTAACTCTATTATGTTATCCAGTGGTATTTGCCTCAGTTATAATTAAAATTAGGACATAACAGTAACAACTATAACTTCACAGCATGGCCACCTGGAGGAAATGATGTAATGTGACTGGTGAATTAGAAGATACAATGGTGGCAGACAAGCAATTCTTGATCGCATAACATGACACACAATAACCCATGTAATCCTCTTTTGAAAAACAAACCCTGTGAGAAATAGATACGGCGATTATTTGCATCTTATGGGTGAAGACAACTTAGTATGGCTAGTAAGTGGGAAAGTCAAGGTTTTAAGCCGAGTCGATGATCCCAGAGCCTGTTTCATTAACCAAGACGCTGACCTGCCTCCTGGGCCGGGCTTGACATCTGAGACAAGTTCCAATGGCAAATCAACCACTTCCATATTTTCTAAATTAAAACCAGACGTGGAGTTTGACAATGTGTTAGTGTGTTTCCTGGGGTTTCCCCCATGAAATTCAAGGAGTGAAGTTGCTGGCATTAAGTAGGAACTCACTTAAATCCCTTGGTTTCTGTTCCTCACCAACCTGGAGGAGGAGGTGAACTAGGTGATTTCTACAGCTTGACTTGCTGCATAAAAAGAGCAAACCCTCCTATGAACCAGGCACTCTTCCATGTGTTTGTGAATATTACTTTATTTATTCTTCCTAACAGCCACCCTATCACAGGGCCTTATTCTCACGACAGAGGTGAGCAGATGAAGGCCCAGGGAATTTCTGTTCCTTGCCCTAGATTAAATAGTTAGGAAGATTCAAACCCAGCTGGTCTGGCTCCTGAGCCTGTGTTATTAACCACTCTGCCTTGTGGCCTCTTGTTAAAAATCTAGAACAAGTTATAGACCTAGAGTAAGTCTAGAGTGAAAGCATGCTTCCCCAGAAACAGACTTTCTTCCTGGTGGTGAGCAAATTCTGGTGTTGACACTTCTTTATATAGATATTTTATTGATTTTTTTACAGAGAGGAAGGGAGAGGGATAGAGAGTTAGAAACATCGATGAGAGAGAAACATCGATCAGCTGCCTCTTGCACATTCCCCACTGGGGATGTGCCCGCAACCAAGATACATGCCCTTGACCAGAATCGAACCCAGGACCCTTGAGTCCGCAGGCCAACGCTCTATCCACTGAGCCAAACTGGTCAGGGCTGGTGTTGACACTTCTGTATGCTGCTTGTGCTCAGGTTTGAAGTTCTCTGCAGCTTCCGTCTCCCTGGAGGCACAGGGAAGAACTTGTCTTCTCTTCCCCCCAGCCCCACCCTCAACACCCAAACTCTCCCTGGTCTAGGTCTTCAGGGATCGATTGGATAGACTGAGGACTTGAGGGAATCATGGGGCTCAAGAGAGGCAAGGTAGAAAACAAGATGTTTTCAGAGACTCGGCTATCGGGTAGTAAACTAAAGGAGCAAAATTCAAGCTGGAAACTATTTCTCTCATCTGGCTTTCATCGCCTGCCCAGGTTCCTTACCCACAACCCACAAATACACACGGGCTGCATTTTGGCAGGAGACAAACTCCTGCTAAGGGCATCATTGCTTTCTTTGAAAATCACTGTTCACAGGATTGAGCTCAGTGCCAACCTGCATTCCCCAAATCTGTATGAAAAGCCTGGCCGGGGCCCAGGTGTTGGAGGACACAAAGAGGAACAAGACAGGTTCTGGGTTTCGGAGCCTCAGAGGGACCTGAGTCTGCATCCCTGTGCCCACAGTTGCTGGCTGTGCGTCCGTGAATGTGCTACTTAACATTCCTCATGATAAGAGTTCCCATCTCATGAGCCCCTGCTGTGGGCCGGGCAGGCACTTGACAAATTCCATCTCTACTGTGCATGACAAGTCTGGCAGGTCTGTGCCATCAGCCCCATGTTGTAGATGATGCCACGGAGGCCCAACTAATAAACTAGGATTCCAACCAAGTTCTCATGATCTTTCCACTATGTCCTCTTGCAGTTTCAACCTCACTCTTCTTTCCTGGGAAATGGAGTTAGGTATTGCCATCCCCCTAAAGCAGGAGATGAGCCACACAGGTACAAGCATGATTCAGAATCAAGCACACACATGTACACACTACACAATGGCTCCTACTATTATGAAAGGAAGTCACATTTGCATCACATGTACAAGTGTCTGCGGTGATACAGCAGTTAAGAGGACAGAGCAAATCTCCCCAACCGGACAGGGTCTGGTTTTGTGGTATTCAAGTGGGCCCTTGGGAGATGAAAAGTGCTTGCATGTGTGGCAATGGGTGGTGGGGGTGGGAAGGAAGAAAACGTTTTCTAGGTGAATTTGAAAGCACGGAAATAGAAATGGTGATGGTCACGCGTGTATCTCCAATGTGTGTTTTTTTAAAGCTTCAGACTTTCAAATATTCTAAAAGATCTAGAATATTCTAGAACTTGCTTTTGAGAGACAGACCAAACACACCCTAAATTCTACCAGATTACGTGGGACTATACCCACAGAGAAGGCTGAGTGCCTGCTCTCTTTACTAAGCAATCCACAAGGAGGACAGACACTCTGAGAAGGAGTGACCGGTGTCATTATAGAAGAGGCAAGACCGGGGAAGCTAGAAGTCAGGACATGAGACTTCCCAGCCAGTCTCTGCATCCTTGTCACCTCCCCTGAGTGCCCCAGACTGTGTCCCCTAGACAGGACCAGTCCTGGGACGGAACACACGCTGCCCACGAGACTGGGTCCAGTTAAATCATTCGCATTAAATAGAAAAGTCAGTAGGAAAACTCTTTTTATTACTTACCCATAAAATGAGTGTTTTTTTCTGCCACGTCTCCCTGTTAGCAGACTGACCTGAACTGTGGGTGGGTCAAGAGAACTCCTGCGAACCACAGAGATGCTGAACAAAGCCATGCACGTAAAACACGCAACCTACGGGCTTACTTTCATTTTTTAAGTGCAGTTTCTATTTAAGAAGCTCGTCAGTGAAATATAGAAGAAGTCGTTCGTTAGAGACTCCCATATTTTTTTGAGTGAAATAAAGTAGAAGGGAAATAAAATATGAAGGGAAAGGTAAATTCAACAAGTTAGCTAGAGAAACAGTGGCAGGAAAGGGAAACAATGAGTTGTGACAAACAAAAATGAGCATGTCAGTCTCAGACAACCCCAAAAAGTGCATGCACACGCGCCCTCCCCCTTCCAGAAACTCCCACAACTTATGTTGCCATAGAGGAAGGCCAGTGTTACAATATCTCGCTACCCAATCAGCAGCACCGCCGGCCTCAAACCAGGAAACCCTGTCAAGTGCAGCATTCTCAACTGTGAAGGGCGAGCTGTTCTCACTGGTTTTTGTTCCCCATGCTTGTAGGATGGAAAAGCAGATGTGAAGTCTCTCATGGCGAAGTTCAACGCAGTGGGCGACCCCACGGAGGAGGTCTCGGCCAGCAGCCGACCCTTCAAGGTCACCGGGCAGAATTCCCCCTCAGGACTCCAAGCCAAAAAGAACTTCTTCAACAACCAAGGAAATGCCAGCACTCTGACGGGACCCAGCAGCGTGCCCAAGTTTGGGGGCCCAAAGCCACCCATGGGGGTGAAACCTCCTCCTGAGGAGAAGCCGGAATCGGAGCCCAAGCCCCCGTTTCTGAAGCCCGCGGGAGTGGGCCAAAGATTTGGATCCCCGGCCCCCAGAGACCCCGAGGGGAGAGCGGCCTTCCTGAGGCCCGTAGGCCCCAAGCCCAACCCGCCCAGAGAAGATGCCAAGCCCGTGTTTCCCCGGCCTCCTGGGAACAAGCCGTCGCTCCACGGTGGTGTCAACCCAGACCACGACCTAAAGCCACCAGGCCTGAAGCCCAGGCTTCCCCCTGCAGCCCAGGAAAGCGAGCAGAAGCCAGTGTTCCCTAAGTCGTCTGGGGTGCAAGGCAAGTTTGTGTCAGCCTCCCAGGACCAGGAGCCCAAGCCCCTCTTCCCCAAACCCCCCTTTGGTCCAAAGCCATCCCCCAGTCTCGATGACCCCCACGAAGGTGAGAGCCCCACTAAGAACGCGTCTCCACTCAGAGGCCCCCCGGCCCCCCCAGGATTCAGGTCCAAAACAGGCTCTTTCAGGCCAGCAAAGGAAGACCCAGACACGAAAGACCAAGGAGGCGAGACGTCAAGTTCACCTTTCCCTGGAGTGGTCCTGAAGCCGGCCGCCAGCAGGGGAGCCCCCGGCCTCTCCAGAAAGCCGGAGGACAGGAGAGAAGACAGGAAGGTGGATGCTGCTAAGAACGTGTTCCTGGGCAAGATGAGCCAGGAGGAGCCGCCTGCCTTGCTCCCTAAGACACCTTCTAAGGTGACGATGGCCGGGCCCTGGGGCCAAGGTCAGGAAAAGGAAAGGGGAGACAAGAGTCCCGCCACCCCTAAGCAGAAACCCCTGCCCCCCTTGGCTGTCCTGGGCCCCCCTCCACCGAAGCCCAGCCGACCCCCCCACGTGGACCTGGCCAAATTCCGAAAAGCTGCTCCTGCAAATAGTAAGTGCTTCTCTCGTTTCTACTTCACGCGTTTGCTTCCTCAGCAGCAGGCATCTTCGCTCCTGGGGGAAACTGGTGATGAGGAAGGATCCATCCCCTGGGGCTGTGGGGGTGACCACCTCTTTGGGATGGTTTGGCTTTGGTGTGGGCGCTCTGAGAGGGAGGACTGGCTTGGGGGGTGGAGGCAAACTCATCCATTTGATTTGATACGTGGTTTCGCTTAATGATCATCTTTTCATTGACTTCCTTAGTTTGGTTTCATTTCTGTTGAATGGGACGGTGGTGTGCCACTTGTGCTGCCACTAAGGAGTTAGACGGACAGATGAGGCAAACCCTAAGGCGGAGATGCTCATGCGGGGGCGATTTTGACATCCCGGGGACATTTGGCAAATGTCTGGGGCACTTTTCATTGTCACAGCGGGAGGGTGCTACTGGCATCTACTGAGCGGAGGCCAGGGACGCTGCCACACACCCTACAATGCACAAGGCAGCTCCCCACAACAGTTATCCAGCCCCAAACGCCAACAGTGCAGGGTTCAGAGACCTCCTCCCAGGGGCGATAGATGCCCACAACTCCATCATGTTTCCTAAGCCCAACATTTAAATAAGACGGCATCAGGGCCCTTGTGAAACTGCACTTTCTGTTTTATGTCCAGCTGCTTCCTATTTCTCACGGTAAAGCTCTCCGAACTTCTCTGATTCATGAAGTAACACATAGCTCGGGTAATAAGCCAGAAAGGGGGTGCATTCTTCTTCTGGGGGGACAGCGCATTTTCCAGCAGAGAGGTTTCCACAGTTCTATGGCACTCCCATCATTTGATCTGAGGGACTTGGTAAAGAGTTGTAGCTCTGCATAGCCATGAGAGAAAGCCACTTATGCCTGAAATGATGAGTATTTTAGGCAAATAATGTGTAACTGCTGTGTATTGGGGGAGATGGGGTGGGGGGCTGGTGTTGACAAGTGACCACACCACTAATGGACATATTTTTTTCCTTACAAAAGCATGGTCTGATTAAAGCTGCTCTAGGCATAAGGTTGTTCTTCTTTTTTGGCTTCATAGAAGCATTTTGCAATCAATCTGTGATCTTCCTGAGATCAGCATTTTCAGTGTTGATCAACAGATTGGTGACCCAACCTCTCGTTAATCTATCATGCAGAAAGCAGGTGTGCAATGACCCCAGGATCCGCACCTTCTAGAAAGACTCAGGCTTGTTGCACTTGCATCCTCCTCATCTGTCACCTACCCGTTTCAATACTGGTCCCTAATTCAGAAATGTTCGTTTGGGGAAGACATTCTACAAGGCCCCTTCTTATCTCTCTTTCCTAGTTTCTCTGTATCTCAGGTGTTAAGACGTGCTGTCACTCGTTCCATTTCATGGCCCTGCTTCACGCCAAGGAAACTGTGCTGAGGTCCGGCAGGAATTCTTGGGAGCTTGCTCCCAGTCCTCCCTCGCTGTGTCTTACTTGGATTGGGTGGTGGGACCCCGTTACCTGGTGTCACACTATTGAATGAGTTCTCACAGATGCTAACTGAGTCCTCTTGCTGGCTCTGCAGTCCTGTCAAGGTCAGCATTGAGCTGATTTTCAGTGCAATGTAGCTCCCAGGGACCCAGGCACAATTGCTCAGTATTCGTGTTGATTCTTGCCCTTCTCTTTCCATGTTTCAGGCAATTCCCCCCGGCTTCACATGCCTCCCCACTGCACAGGTCCCCACCACACCGTTTGGATTCTAAAACCTCTCATCAGTGTACCCCACTTCCGACCTCTGGGCCCTTGGTGTATATTATGTTCCAAAATGGACCCCATTTCCTCTTCACCCACCTTTTCACAAATCAGAACTCAATTTTTAATCTAAAGTGACCTACAGTTGGTGTCAGGATAAAACAATCCGTTTCATAAATTTAAACTCTGAATAACATCCCTTTAAAGCACTCACTTTTTTCAATTTGTTTTTAAATAGAAATCACATTTAGCTCAAAAACACAGCAAGTGTAAAAAGGTGTAAAATGGAACATCGTGAAAAGGTGTCTTCAGTCCTTTCCTGCCTTTTGCTGGGTCTTCCCGGCCTCGGCCCCACAAGAACAACCACTCTGCTAACTTCCCCCTCCATCCAAAGTTTGTTTATGTTTACACAACAAATAGAAATACAGATACTAGCCACCCCCTGATTTTTACTCAACAAGTAGAATATTATATGCAATGCTATAATCTTCATTTCTTAAAAACACTGATAAATCCTGTATGTCTTTCCACATTTTAATGAGAGGTAACTGATTATTCTTTAAGCTGCACAGTATTCTGATAAGTCGATGACTCACCTAATTAATTTAGCAGTTCGTATTATTTCCAAACTTTTGCAGTCAGAACATTATACAGAAAATAGTCTTGTATATGTATCATAAAATAAGCATTTATTTTCTGAACACAGAGAATTTCTTAATAGGCAGATTTGCTACCCTGGCTGGTTTGGCTCAGTGAATAGAATGTCGACTTGTGGACTGAAGGGTCCCAGATTCGATTCTGGTCAAGGGCACATGCCTGGTCAAGGGCTCAATCCCCAGTAGGAGGTGTGCAGGAGGCAACCGATCAATGATTCTCTCTCATCATTGATGTTTTTTTCTCTCTCTCCCTTTCCCTTCTTCTCTTAAATCAATAAAAAGATATTAAAAAAAAAAAAGTCAGGTCTGCTGACTCTGGATCCTACCACTACTATTTTCCTTAATCATGCTAAGCAATTTAGCATTCCATCTAGGAAGGTTAAAAAAAATACCAGAATTAGAAAGCATATAGTGTCCAAATTAACTAAAGCTTCATCAAATCATTTTGTAGGCTTTCAAAACTCTAAAACTATTTTCTTAGCCTTCCCACCTGATTCTTTCCCTTCAAGATTCATGTCCAATTCCTTAAACCTCATCTTCAGATCTACCCTCCGTCTTTATCATCTTTGTCCAATATAGTAACCATTACAAATATTTATCCCTTATTGAGGACATGTTATATATATGATACTCATTACCCTGTTAATGCCAATGAAACAGGATTTCTGTGAGGTTAGGTAACCTGCCCCAGGCTGCACTGCGACTGAGTAGAAACAGACCTTGTCCTCCCTCTAGAGCCCAGGTCCCCATCGCCACCCTCCCTGCTGGGCTCCCTCTCTTGAAACACATGCTAGGGATAGAATGAGATAACAAATTAAGCATAAATGAAACCCAAAGAATCCTCATTATTCTACCTCTCTTCGTCTTTTGGTTGAAACGAGTTTTTTTTTTATTTTTTTTTATTTTTACTATAAATACCACTATAAGCTGAATGAAGACAGACCAGTCGACTTAATATTATTTATTTGGAGCCCAGAAATAAAATATTCCTGTTAGTTGCTCAGGTTTGTCTTCCCACCAGAATCTCTTTAATCAGAGTTTAAGATTAATAGTTTAGCAATTCCTCTTTGAACAACTAGATAACCCTTACCAATAGCCTGGTGCTCAATTGAATTGAGTTTCTATGCAAAATGAATATTATGCACAGAGTCCTTCTTGTAGTAGATTTTCAGCTGATTTTCTTGTAAACCGAACGCTTGACTATAACGTGGTGGTTTTCTGAATATGGAGCTAATACCTTCCCCCATCCTCCCCCTCCCCGGAACCATTACAGGTTACAACAGGCCCAACATTTTTAAACAATCCAAAATATCAGAATGTTCTTTGAACTAACATTTCTCCTGGCCCCTTATGGTTCCCAGGCCGGTGGTGAAAGGACCTCCTCCCAGCATCCCGTGCATGCCTGGCCCACACAGCCTGGGTTGTGAGGACGCCCTGGCCATCTGTGGTCTGTGTGTAGGAGTGAGCAAGCCCTGCTGGGAAATAGTCCATCCAGTTTTGTTTTGTTTTTTCCTAAGCTTGTTCTTAACACTGGGGAGAAAGTAAGACTCATCTTTCCTGTGTTGACTGGAGGAATGACCAGTAAAGCATCTTGACAATCGAAGGGGCAAGGTCAATGTCCCAGATGGCTTAGCAATGGGCCCCTCCTCAGCTACTTGTGTGTCACTCTATACATGGACAGCGGTTTTGAACCAAAAGGCCTCTGGCCTATTTTCACCGGCAAGTGACTTGTTTCTAGGAGGGGTCAAGTTTATCTTTCATAGACCCCGAAGCTGTCACCTTTCTTCTTCTCCGCAGTCTCCGTTCACGTGTACTCTCTGAACATTGCCCATTAGGTATTTACAGACCGAGCTTTATATCGGCGTGTTGCTCCCAGCCAGGACGGGGCAAAGGGATTCACTGCTCAGCCACATTTGAGAAACCCGGGGACAGGTGGATTCTTACACCAGGGTTTCTATAAGCATTGACACGTGTACCAAACAAGCAGATACTTTTTCAGAAGCATCTCACAGACCGGGCTCTTTCAGAGCACTGGGGAGCTGGGGGCGAAGCTCTGTGGAGTGGGACACTGTCTAAAGCAGTGGTTCTCAGTCTTCCTAACACCGCGACCCTTTCATACAATTCCTCATGTTGTGGTGACCCCCAACCATAAAATTATTTTCGTTGCTACTTCATAACTGTAATTGTGCTACTGTTATGAATCATACTGTAAATATCTGATATGCAGGATGTATTTAGGCGACCCCCTGTGAAAGGGTCGTTCGACCCCCCAAAGGAGTTGCGACCCACAGGTTGAGAACCGCTGGGCATGGCTCAGCTTCGATGGCAACAGACTCTCCACATGCTGTTTGCTGTCATTATCTAGGAGCCTGGTGCATGCTCTGTGGCTAGCATCCACCCTTACCTTTAGCTCTAGCCCCAACCCGGGCTATTTCACTCGCCCTCCTGGATCCCTGGGAAAGCTGTGTTCCGTGAGACCTGTTGGTCTTCCCTCTATCCCTGGCTGACCCTTCTGAGGAAACACTCACTGTCAATCTGGCAGCTTACCTGGGTTTAACTCCATAATAGAAATGCCTTGGGGAGCGCCTGCCCTTTCTAATCGCACTGGTCCAAGGTCAGAT